CAACGTGAAAGCTATCGCCCCATTTATTTGGTGAGCAAAGCATTTGAAAAAGAGGTTTTTCGTCAGCCCTATAGCTATCTAACTGAAAACCCCTTCTAAAAGTAGGTTTGAGTATCGTCGTCCGGATGAACGTAGTCCGAAATAGGACTGCTATTGTTGACAGTGACTGACGTTTCGACAACCTGTGCAGTAGTCTTCTTCAGAGTCAAAGTGAGTTGAATCACGTCAGTTGATGGTGTGTTCCGATCCGTCTATTTTCACAGTTAAACAGTCGTCCATTGTTTGTCAAATTTTCGGCTGTCAGTAGTGGTGTCTGAGGAGAATTAGCAGTTTTTTGGGGGAGTAAAAGTGGGAAGTAAAATTTAATAAAAATGCGCGGGAAACTTGTTTAATTTATGCTAACCATGTTTAGGCAAGGACTAGTAATGACGTCACAACACCATAAGGTCCATTTGACAGTTTAGCAAGCCCGTTGTTCTTTGAACATAAAATCCCACCACTTTTCGTGAAACCTTTCTGTAGCTTAATTTTGGAGGAAAAAGAATCGAACTAAAGATTTAATAGAGGTTGTATATTTTTCTTTTGTCACGATGACTTTCACCATTACAGCGGAGCGCCGTTAGTCAGTTAATTATGCGCGTTTACAAGCTGTCATTTGCATACAAATTGGCTCTACAGCCTTGACTTATTATTATAAAAACACAAAACAATTAACAACTTAACAAGGATCAATTGAAACACGCGACTAATAATAGTTAGCAATAGAACCAGACACGAGAAACCGTTTTAAAAACTTAATGACCAATGACAAAAAGAGTATAAAAGACACAGCGATCTGTAAGGGATAGAAATTAATTAATCCTTCTTTTCTTCACCAACGGAGTACTTGTTAGCTTTGACTCGAAATTTCTTATGCCTACTTCGTTTCCTCATCTGTTTGCCGTGGGCATTATGATCATCCAAATAATTTAAAGATTGAATCCGACGCCTTTTGTGCTTCGGGCCTTGTTGTGATGGGGTTTCTACTGTGGGAGGGGGGGGTCAGGAAAGCAGGATTTAAGGGTGGTGGTGGGGTGAGGCTTCCTTTTTCAGGTTTTTGAGAGGTGTTACGTTGAAGGGGTTGAGGGGAGTGGATAATGCTGTTGTTGCTAGCGAAGATGTGCGCTTGATGTTAAGTCTGGAACAGCGCTGATTATTTCTTCCGGTCGTGTTCTTGTATTTAATTGTTCTTTAAAAGCCAGGTATCTGTTTTGCAGCTGAAAGTATCGCTTAGCTTTCTCATCGTCCCGAAGATCGTTTCGAGAAAGCACGTCATCGATGTTGCCCTGGAAGAAGCGGGACAGGAGAAAGATTTTGCTGCTTTAGATATTTTAGAAGCTCCTGAGGAATATTTTCTTGAAACCCTGCTTGGTAAAAGCCTTCTTCACTGGGAAGGAGTCGACAATTATCTTGGGTAGTAGTTTTCAGATCAATCAGCAGATAACTGATTACAGCCTTTTCGTACTGATTTCAAAAGAAATCAGTTTGCCCGGGATACATTTGCTTAGCCAGGGTCAAGATTTGCAATTTGTCTCGTGGATTCTTGAATAACACCAAACAATGGCTGTTTAGGCTTATGCTGCGACTGCCTTTCCCCTGATGGAATAGATTTTGCACGATATAAATCACTCTTAGATAACGATGATGAGAACCTCGAGTAAAGAGGTTCACAATACGCTTGTCTTTACTGGCGTCAATCATTTGATCAGCAAACACGATCAAATTCCGTTTGTTCACATCAAAATAGGAATCCTGCCCCCAAGGCGTAGGAATTCCCTTGAAGAATTCAATGTGTGGCATGGCGACTAGCATTTCTGTATACGCAGGCTTCCATTGTGAATAACACCAAACAATCCTCTCCTGGGGAGGGTAAATTGTCTAAAGTATTTTTCGCAGACAGAACAGAAGCAACTCATGTCAACTCCTCAGGAGCAGATTGCAGACTAAGAAAGAGGTAAAATGTTGCGCTTTTATATAGGTTTTCAGGTCATAAAATTCTATTGTTTTCTGTCCACCACCGCCACCGCCACCACATTTCTATTGTTATCCTTCACCACCACCACCACATTTCTATTGTTTCCCTCCAACACCACCACCACCACCACCACATTTCAATTGTTTTCTATCCTCCTCCTACTCGTTTCATTTTTTTTCTCCAGTAGATTTTATAAAAGACTGCCAACTGCCATCATGAGTTCATTTGGTGGCAATGTCTCGTGTAGTAAACAACAATCGTGGTTTTCCTCAGCTGTTAGCTGATTGCCCTGTTCATCAGCGCTAGTTTCTTTTAAAGACAGCCACTCCACAACAACTACATGCACTAGTGCAAGTCTTATACAATATACTTATGGGACACATTTCCATCCCCGAAGAAAATAAGCGGATATTACAGTCATATAAGGATGCTTTACTTGACCAGGCCAGACCAGATGTCCCCTACAAAACAAAGAAGGGAGTCCTTGTACAAGAGGGTAGAGGTTTTATTTAAGACTTTTTGGCCCCTGTTGTTTCAAACTTAGGATTTCTAATGCTATAAAAGAGGTGACGTATCGCAAAGTTTATCACCGGTGCTCAATAATAATAATAAAACATTTATAATGCGCAAATTCCATAAAATGTTCAAATGCGCATGACAAGATCAAAAACGAAATAAAAAGGCTAAAAAGCCAAAAATTACAATTAAGAGTAAATTTACAATGACTTAAAAAGCTAAAATTACAATTAAAAGTAATTACAATTTAAAGTAATCTGGGGCTCAGATTTTTTCTGTGTCCTCTTATGGTTGATTCTTTACATCTCCCTTTATTTCCTTTATAATAAAAGTAAACTCACAATAATAAAAACAACTATGATAACAATGCATGACGGAAAAGGTGAGTTTTTAGCTTGGCTTTAAAAATACTAACTGTGCTGGCGCTTCTTATGTCAAATGGTAACGCATTCCACAGTTTAAAACGCGGATAACTAAGTAAAAGGTTATCACTAGAATTCCTTAGATTATATTTAGATGAGAGCCTAAGAAAAATGAGAGACGATAAATAAGTAGGCACTAAAAAATTAAGAATCTTAAAGGTAATTAAAAGTATTTTAAACTCGATTCTACATTTAATCGGTATAACCAGTGTAATTCATAAATAAGAGGCGTTACATGACAAAATTTCTGTTCTCTAAAAATCAGTCTGGCGCAAGCGTTCTGTACTCGTTGCAGTTTATTCAACAAGCAGTCAGGTAGTCCATGTAAAAGACCATTGCAATAGTCAAGGCGACTTGTTATGAATGCATGGACAAGTATCGCAGTTGACTGCCGTGAAAGATACTTTCTGATCCGACGACCATTATAAATATAGTAAAATGAAGAGGCACAGGTTTTTTTGATTTGTGATGCCATGGACAGACTAGAATCAAACCAACAACCAAGATTTCTCGCGAGTGGCACGGGATGAATATCTGAGTCACCCACACGTATACTGATATTATCTAGCTTTTCCAGCTGTTGTGATGAACCAATGATGAGGAATTGAGTCTTGTGGTCATTAAATTTAAGATCATTATTCAACATCCAAGAACGAATGTCTCTGATGCAGTCTTCCATATTCCTCACCACAGCAAGTAGTTCAGTTCCGTCGTTCGGACTAAATGAGATCAAAACTTGTGAATCATCAGCGTAACAGTGAATCATGGGCAGATGATATTTAATTATCTCAAAAAGCTCACTCGTGTACAACGTGAACAATAGCGGACAAAGACAGGAACCTTGAGGCACGCCGCATTCTAATTAAAAAGATTTAGATAGTGACTCGTTGATCATTATCCCCTGAGTTCTTGCAGACAAATAGGATGCAAACCAGGAGAGGGCTTTTCCCTGTATACCAAATGAGTATTCAAGTCGACGTTGCATGGTGTCGTGATTAACTGTATCAAAGGCATCACTCAAGTCGAGCAGAATTAGCAAAGTAACACACTGATTGTTCATGTTCAAGAGAATGTCATTCATAACCTTAAGCAGTGCAGTTTCTGTGCTGTGGTTTTGTCGATAAGCTGATTGGAACACTAGGAACAGATTGTTACAATTTAAATAATGTTGTAGTTGCTTGGCAACCACAGTCTCAACTAGCTTTGAGATAAATGCCAAATTACTCACTGGTCTGAAGTTCTTAAAGAGGGGGAGGGGGGGAGGGGTAATCCATCCTTTTTCAGCAGCGGCCACGCTAGAGCACACTTCTAGGTACTCGGAAAATAACCAGAATCAAGCGAAAGATTAATTATTTTGGTGATCGGAGGCAGTAGCAAATCGACGCACTCATTAAGAAGCTTGGTTGGAATAGGATCAAGAGGACAAGACTTCTTAGACGAAACTGTGATTAGATCAAACATCTCTGATTCGGACAACAGATTAAATTCTGAAAAACAGGAAGCAGTCACAGTACTAATTGCGTTGATAGGAAGGCAGATCTGGTTCGTATTAACAGACCTGATATCGGCAATTTTTTGGGCAAAGGATTTTCCAAAATCATTAGCCAACTGATAATAATTGGTAGATAATGGAAGGCCAGAACCTTTCGATAAATTTAGCAAGGACTTGCTTGTTATAAATAACCTCCTCTGGTCTGTGCTGTTCTCAGTTATGAAGTTTGTATAATAGTCACTGCGAGCCTTGTTACTCAGAAACGTCACACGATTTCTCACAGTACGGTGAGACAATAAATCGATGTGTGCTTTAGAAGCTCTCCATTTCCTTTCAGCTTTCCTCCTTTGTCGTTTAGCCAATTTAATTTCGTCGTTCATCCATGGAACACATGGTCGACCTAGTTGTATTCTTATGCTTAACGGGAGCAGGACGACCCAGCAGGGAACGCAATGTCAAATAAGGCAGCAAGCTCATCAGGATCATCAGTATCCATGGCGGAGCAGATAAGATTATGACCAACCGCCGTTAGGCCGCTGACCTAAAGAGTCAAAAAATGAAGAAAAAGATAGATTTGGTTGAAGAAGAGCACGAGAGTGAACATGAAGAAAGCGAAAGTTCCGGTGATGAAAGCGAAGATGAAGAACCAAGAATAAAAGATGTTTTGAGTCATCTTTCCCGAGCGGTGTCTGAAAAGCGTGCTTCTGATCTGCTGCATAGTATGGCTGCTTCCAAAGACATTCTTTTCTGGACTCCCCGCGGACAATTACTTCGAAATAAACGTATAATTCCCGTCACAAACATCGCCGAGCTAGTTGACTATGTGTTACTCCCTCATAACAATGAAGTTACCAAGCCTCGTGCGCTGAATTTGTTTCTAGATGGACTTGCAGAGTTAGGTATCGGTAAAGGTTTAATCAAGAACAAAAAGTTGCTAAGCGAATTAATAGAAAGGGAAAAAGGCCACTGAAATGTAGAAAATACTTCCGAGAACGAGAGTAATAATGAGGAGAGTTCATTGNGGAACGCAATGTCAAATAAGGCAGCAAGCTCATCAGGATCATCAGTATCCATGGCGGAGCAGATAAGATTATGACCAACCGCCGTTAGGCCGCTGACCTAAAGAGTCAAAAAATGAAGAAAAAGATAGATTTGGTTGAAGAAGAGCACGAGAGTGAACATGAAGAAAGCGAAAGTTCCGGTGATGAAAGCGAAGATGAAGAACCAAGAATAAAAGATGTTTTGAGTCATCTTTCCCGAGCGGTGTCTGAAAAGCGTGCTTCTGATCTGCTGCATAGTATGGCTGCTTCCAAAGACATTCTTTTCTGGACTCCCCGCGGACAATTACTTCGAAATAAACGTATAATTCCCGTCACAAACATCGCCGAGCTAGTTGACTATGTGTTACTCCCTCATAACAATGAAGTTACCAAGCCTCGTGCGCTGAATTTGCTTCTAGATGGACTTGCAGAGTTAGGTATCGGTAAAGGTTTAATCAAGAACAAAAAGTTGCTAAGCGAATTAATAGAAAGGGAAAAAGGCCACCGAAATGTAGAAAATACTTCCGAGAACGAGAGTAATAATGAGGAGAGTTCATTGAATATTGAAAATCAGGAGGAGGAGGAAGTGGCTTCTGAGAATGGCAGTGAAGCTGAAGACACCCAAGGGAGCGACAACGACACTGAAAAACGACAGTGAGGAAACAGCAAGTAATAGTCATGAAACGTCCACCACCTTTCACTCTGAAAATCCCTGTGAACGTCGTGAGAATTCTAATGTGTACGGGACTTTGATCATGAAATGTCCTAAATGCTCTCGGAACGATTCACCTATGATTTGTCCCATATGTGATCACCAGATCCCCGAGGAGAGAAATAACATGAAAGAGGGCCTTCTTCGGTGCCACGATTGTGGAGCAATAGTTCGCCTATAAGTAGCTAGGGCTTGTTCCTCGATGTTTTGCATAACGATTTCTGCTACAACAACAGAAACTGGAGAACACATAGCTGTTACCGTTTAACTGTTTGCACTGTTTGCCGTTGTACTGAAAGTACTTCGAAGTTAAGCAGAGGTTGAGTAGGTCCATAATGTCGTCTGTTGGTAGTGGTAGTTCAACAGTAGAATTTTAATAGCGCTCTCAATGCAGTCTAGAGCCATTTGAAGTGAAGTGCTGGTGAACAGTGATTTCACATCAAAAGATACTAGTTTGTGGTCTTGAGTTATCTGAAAATCTTTAAAATGTTTTCTTGTCACTATTCCTTATCGAAAGTCTTAAGTAAAAAAAAAAACTCTATTTAAAATTTGGACTGACTTTGACACTTAGTGCCTACACTCAATAACTCGTCAGCGTTCTTACTGGTAGAATGTATATGATACTGTAGCTTGTTTTCTCGTTTATATATAAAGCCACCTTCACATAACATTTTTAGATACGTCTAAATGTTACTTGTTTTTTTCAAGGAAAACATTTCAAAAATTTCTAGTTATCCTAATACAAACAGCCTATCTCATGCCTTTTCCTTTACATGTATTTTAAAAGATTCAAACTGGAGAAAATTAAGGCACATTCAATTTGACAAAAAAGGTGCGGTCATAATTAAGAAAATACGATCGAAGTGTCTGAGCCAGCCGCCCAAAACAGTTGAACAAAGGAGCGTCTGTCTTTTTAAGTTGAGTTATCTTGAACGAGTCATGTATTTGAAATGACAAGTTTGTGGCCAACTATATTTGAGCAACGTAAATTATTTAACATTTTATTAGTTTGGTAACGTTATTCAAAACCCACAGAGTTGCTTAGGCTGATTAATTATCAACTCGTCCTGCCACCTGTCCATTATCGCTTATAACAAGCTGGCCACCAGAAACTCAGAAATTACTATTGAAACATTGGCAAGTGTTCATTTTCTGACTGATCGGAGGACGCATATTATTCACAGCTGGTTAAAAACAAGCTCCTTTCATTATTTACTGGACAAATTCGTAGTCCGCGTGAGCCTTGTCGATATCTGAAAGGCCACTGCTACATATTCCGAAATCGTAAAACTTGTATACATCACTGACATTCTCAAACAGATACTATGATCTTTTAAATTTGTTTATTGGCAACTTAAGCGTACGTCAACAGAAGGTGTTCAAAAATTAAAACAAATTTTGTAAACAAGGTGGAAATAAGATATTTTCAACGTCACGTTTTTTCTTTTAATATTTTCAAGCACTTTAATAACAATTCACTTCAGCCGGTAGGATAAGCAATAACCGATGATATTCGTCTCGTAGAAATCAGCAGAAAGAATTGTGAGGGTTTTAATAAGCCATGTCATAAAAATTTTAAAGCTTGCAAGCAATTAGTAAACGATGGAAAATTACCAAAAATACCATACAAAACAAATATGTAAGCGCATCCAACAAAACTTCCAAGAAATTTAGTGGGTTGTGTTTCAGCAATTCCTGTTGTTAGGTTATTTCCAATCATCTTATATGATTACTGAATACCTCCACTTAGTATATTGTCAAATTTATACAGTTCATCACAGGTAATAAAATGCAATAAGGCGGCTATAACGTGATTATATTTTATAGCCTATTGGTTTTCATTACAAAGGTTGTTTAAAGTTTTAAATGAAGTCCTGAAGATGCCTGAAATGTTTTGCGGCCGGCAATTTGCCGGGAAGGTCGCTTGACTTGTACAGTTAATGCAATTACAATTTGATAATTTATTTCCTCTCTTCAAAAACATTTACAAACGAAAGTCTTAGTCTGCCAATATCGGTTCCTTTAAAACCTGTCATCGTCTTGAACATGAACATTTACCCGCCTTTCCTCCGGCTCGTCAAGTTCTTGTTCCTCACTGGGGTTCGTTTTCAGTTTTGCACCCATTTCTGATGCATGGCGTTTGCGCCATTTTGTCCTTCGGTTTTGGAACCAAACTTTGACTTGACTTTCTGTCATTCCGAGGGAGTAAGCCAGTCGTGTCCTCTCCGGCCCTGCCAAATATTTGGTCTGTTCAAAGGTTTTTTCAAGGGCGAAGATCTGATGGCCACTAAATGTCGGTCGAGTGTGCTTTCGTTTGTTGTCTGTGTCCCTTTCGCTACAGACTGGATGATTCTGAGCTGCTAGGAAAATAGAAGAAATAATTGTTTATAGCTTAGTTATTTGGGATTAGTGGTATTAGGCTTGTCTAGATGATGTAATTAGCTAAAGCCGCACATACATCACAACTCTGTTAATGCCCACAATCGCGGCGAGCACGAGCACCGAAAAATTGTTAATACTGCAAAGGTTAATTTCTTTGGAAAGGTTATTAATTTTTTTCCACAATAATCATTTGGTCTGTTCTCCAAGATGCCGTTCCATGTGTAAACTTGGTTTGTTTAGGTGAAGAATTTTGGGCAAACAGAAAGTGTGGGGAGGAAATGAAGAGGATATATGTTATTCTCAAGGATTATAGTAGCTATTATCGTAATACTGTCAAATTAGTAATGAAGACAAGCCTTGGGATAAAATACCCAATAAAGTAAAGATGGCTTAAGGTAAACTAAAGGAAAGCTGATTTATTAGCTACGAGGTTCGCCTCAGTTGCGGCAGAAATATATTCATTTCTTTTGCATACATTGCGATTTTTTAGTTAACTTGTGTAATTTTAGCTATAGCAAGGTTATCGCTTTGATATGCACTCGGGTTTACTTTATTAAGTCGCAATTTTCTTCAAGGATGGGCAAAATGAATTTTTTTCCGTGGCTTTGTCTATTCCGATTGCAAGGACAGCCTTTAACGTGACGCTAATGGCGATTTTTATGTCAATTGGTGGAAACGCTCCTTCTTTGAATTTGTTGGCGAGATTATTTCTCTAAGCGCAAGCTATAGACTTTTTGCTTAAATCATAATTTCACAAGATAGACAAAACTTTGAATCCACCCACCACGGACCCATGCGTGGATATATGCTTTCTCGCGGATAGGATATGCATGTGTCTGTTTTATAAAAATAACACATGAAAGGCTTAACATACCGTTGAGTCTTTCTCGAAACTGTGATTGTAACATTGCGCTCCAAAGGTATGGGACGTCATGACCATAACCATACAGTCGCGACGGTGCACTGCCGGGGTTGGTTCTGTAACGAGCGGTGGTAGGCAGGCTTACCATTGCCGGGCGAGGATCGGGCCTACTCAGGATATCATCGATTCTGTAAGATGTGCTGGGTTTTGTGACAGGAACTCGGGGTGATGAAGAAATTGGATGCTTCACTTCTGGAGAAAGTGGTGGAGGATAGGGAGGTATATGTCTTGGCTTCAGATCCACGAAGGGACTATAGAAGAACGTTGGCCGTTCCATAGCTAGCTGGAACTCAAACGTATGGTCGAATCTGGGGTTGTTGCCGTTCGGTTATGTTTTCCTGCTGCTTGGGCGGCGAAGAATAAGTTAACATTAATAAACTAAAGTTGACTTTAGTTTCGATGCGCCTGTCAGCAGTGCCGCCAAGCGTAACGTGTTGATTGATGGGCTGTCGTGGCAAACATTAATTGATATAGTAGGTTTGTAATGGTATGGCTAATAATGGAGTGGTAAGAAGGCAAACGCACGATCTTATTGGTTAAACTCTGACAGGTGTTCTGGGAGGAAGCCAGCTTAATGCTTACTAAATGATTGAGGGTTTGTTAATGAATATGTCCAGCCATCTAAAAATGTTAGCGCTGGGGAGAAGGAAAAAAATTCTCTTAGCGGTAAGAACAGAGTGCCTGGAATTGGATTTAATTAGTATCTTTACAATATTTGTTGATCCGTTTTCAAAATGGCCCCATTCAAGACTAAGACGAAATGAACCTTATCAGTAGTCTATTTATAGTCCAATTGAAAACAATACATTCGCGCGTCATTAGCAATTTGGCGGCGTTTATATAATAATTGTTTGCAATGAGAGCAGTCCATGTGTTAAATGTGTATATTGGTTTATTACTCTTCGTAATCCAAACATTGAGATTACCAAATGAATAACAAAGGGATAAAAAGGAGTTATCCTATAAAAGGATAACATCAAAATAGTAAGTGTTACAGTTGAAGATCATAGCATTGTTTAAGTAAAAATGAGCTATCCATTTATCACCCACTGAAGCAAAAAAAATTTAACAAAGCTGAAGTTTTTCTAAGATGCTTTTTATTTAAAAGGTGGCTTGTGAAAATATTGGTAAGTGCTAGTACTCTTAAAATGCCGGTCCTACCTCAGCCGAGACCACTGCAGGCAGGAACTCGTATGTGATCCCAAGGTATCCTCATTTTACTTCGGTTCTGGATATAAATTTATTAGTTTTTAAAAATTACAATATAACGGCGTTACAGGAAAACAAAAATTGCTTTTCTTAATTGGACAACATTTTGAAAGACCATTATGAGCGAAAATTGATAACTTTTATAAAGTCATCGTGACTTTTATTTAATTTTCGTGACGCCGGTACACGTTGATTTAGTTCACATCTCTTCCTCCTAGTGAGAGTGAAAATGAGCAACTGAAAAAGATTTTTGGTGTGGTGGGAAATTTATTACACGGAAAAAAAAAAGACTACTCGGTCAAGTAAACTTGTAAGCAGCGTCAAAATTCAGTTTCATATAACCAAGCTGCTAGCAACAAAGCTTATTCACCCACCTATAGAAGTATTCAAAGAGGCGTTAATACCTCAGTTTTTTTAATGCTGTTGCCATTTTAGGAAAAATATCATGCTTTTTATTGTTTGACATTTCTCCTCTTTTAAGTGAAAGTTTTGACAAATAGAATAAGATAAAATTTACACTTTTTAAGAAAACTGATTGCAATTTATTATTTGACAAACCTTTGATGTTTAGACATATCCAGCAAGTTGTTATAAGTAAGTTTTTGAAAGCAATTCTAAATGCATTACAGGATATGAGCTTTAACAATCAGCGAAGGTAAGGCGACGTGATTAGACATGTTCGGCCAAACAATGATCGATATTTAAAGCTACCCTTTATAAGGTTCTTTTATAATATATGATGGCAAGAAATGAAATCAATTCAGCAGAAAGAGCCGACATTCAGTTGTAATATTGCATCCGTAACACTGTTGAACTGATTAAATAAAACGTAAAATAGTCTGCACTAGAGGTTTTAATTTCAGTGAGTAAATGAGGTTTCCTTCGTTTTTCATGTGGCCTTGTTAACAAATCACTATGCAGAAACCTTATATATGAGTTGGTATCCCATTAAAACATGATTTCCTGAGAGAAGAGACAAACGTAGAACCTAGACAGCCGGGCAGGTGAACCTTAAATATTATTCAAAAGTTTTAAGGTACAAATTCAGGAAGGAGTTTTTTAAATTTAATCTTGCGCTATGACAAAGTGTGCTGCAATTTTTGAGAAATGAGAAAAGGCATCTCTTAAATCTGTTGAGACCAAAACTCAGTTCAATGTTGTTATTTATTGGCTTATTGAATTGTCTCGCTAAAGGTATTACTTTTTCCTTCCTTTACAACAAAATGATATCAGTGGGATATTTCACAAATATGCTGTATAATATTTCGGCACTTTCTACGTGAGTTTATTACAACATTATTAGTCACTGAAACAGAGCAGCAACTATGAAAGACTGACGAATTAAGTACGATATGAAGAAATATTTTGAATGAATAATGAATGTAATATTTCTTCTTTCTGATTGCCTTCAATCCCCCGGCTAAGTCTTCTTAACCAGCTAACGTTGACCAAATTTGGAAAAAGATAACAATTGACGTCAATTGCACAGATATCGACAAAAAGGGATAGCAGAAGACCAGCTGTTTTTGGCGGGGCTGGGGAAAAGTGGCGGAAGTTAAGATTTCAGGCGTTATGTTAAGGAATAGACAACTCAGTGCTGTCTGAAAAAATTGCAGGACTGGTAAAGATACAACTCAACGGAGGACTCTTTGCTATTTTAAGATTGTATGCTAAAAAAACATTCATTCATAACTTTAAACTGCCGAGGACGAGGGGAAGTCTATAAAGAAACATGCGCAACTTGTCATCGAACGAGATATTTTGGTTTGCAGTTAGAAACATTTTGAATGAATATTAAAACAATTACCGCATTCGAATGGATTTCGTTCGAAAGATATGAAGAATTATGCAGGTCTCAGAGGCTGTTATCATACAATAATTCTTCATATCATTCTTATGTTTATTTAATAAGTGCTTAATATTGTCTTAGTTATCGGTAAGCATGCGCATTAAACTATTGAGAGAGGGTGCTGCATAAAAATTATAATTTACTTCTATGAAAAGCCAAATCACAAAGTTCACAACAAACAACTTCACAGATTTGTTTAGCCACAAGGATTATCTATAGCAGAAAAAGCGAACGAATGAAACAACAAGCAAACAAACAAACAAACAAAGCAGAACGATTCTAAGGCGACGAAAGTAAAGCAAATCAACCTAAACTAAAAATTGCCTGAATTTCTGTCTTCCTCATCGGTATTTTCATATTTTCTGTGTTTCAAACCTTGCTTTTCTTAGGCAGGAAAGGCCAGTTACTATGTTTCAGTGTACAGCCCTGTTGTCCTAAGCGTGTCAGCGAAAATAATCTTTCTTGATATCATAGAAAACCGCTCCCAGGGATTAAAAGCATTTCCGCTCAGATTTTAGAACCAACCTGGTAAACCACAGAAATACAAACAAATATTAATTGCCAACGAAATGAAATTAATTAACACGTCTCAAGATAGGATTAAAGGATTAACATCATAAAAAAGCTTTCATGTCTCGGTTGCATTAAATGTTTGCCAATTCAGCCACTAAAAAGTTTATATCAGGACAGGCAAAATAACACACCTCAATACATATTATCAACACATACGTTATATAGCACTTTCTAACGTGTTACGTGAGTTATATAGATTATTTGCTCCTTTAAAACCATTGTGTGACTTAACTACAATGAGCAGAGTTGTTGACAACTTCTATAGAATGTTTTGAACAAACAAATGCCAATTCAGTGATTAATGTGTGCTTTGATTTCCATCTGTAAAAGAGAAATAATGGGCGGCAATTTAAATTGAACAAAGGAAAATGATTTGAGCTAACAAAAGAGGTGACCTGCTTTTCAATTACTCTTAACAAGAACCTGATTGGTGCTAATGCTTGAACATCTTGAAGGCTATACGTGTCATCTTTCGGTCAAAAAAAAATATTATTTTCTTTTAGAGGAAAGAAGTTAGGAGGATTGTTAAAGGGATCAATTTTCAATTTTAAGACAAAAACGTATGTGTTGCAGAAAGTAAAATAACAATGTCAGGGTCAGTTTAACTCAAGACATGAACTGACGTATATAAGGCATATAGGTATGTGCCGCCAAAAATGGTTTGGTTTTGGGGCCGTTTTGGTCTGAAAACGGGTATAGACTTTGCCCATTTTTGTTTGGAATCGGGCATGGCTTTCAAGGAAAGTACGGGAGCATATGAACGTATTTATAATAGTAATAATAATAATAATAATAATAATAATAATAATAAATTTATATAGCGCCATTTCTAGCCATGCCCAATGGCGCTTTATAACAAATGTTTAAAATCTTACAAATATAGTTCATAAATTACATTAAATTGAAACGAATTAGACGAATTAAAAATAGCAAAATTAATTGATAAAAAAGGCATTGAGTTAAAACGACTAAAACATAAAAGGACTAATTTAATAACAACGCCTTCCTAAAAAGATAAGTCTGATAGTTTGTTTCGGTAGTCTATACAGAAGTGAATTACAGAAGTCCAATCTGGAAGTAATGAAAGCATGCACAAGTTTTTTCCGCAGTATGGCGACTGATATCTTTCCTTATGCGACTAATGTTTCAAGACTGCCTTGCATACGGCTAAAGCATGTGTTCCATTGTCATGAATGTCAGTATTATACAGAACACCAATTCTAGCTACCGATCGATGACTTGCTAATCACCTCATAACAAACGTGCGAAGGTGTAGATGTAACCGCTGAGGGAACAGTTTCCTTCTGTAATAATGCCAACAATGCCTTGTATAGAAACCCGCAAACCATAACCGAGGTTTGTGATACACAAATCACTAAAAACCATGGCCGTGGTACAAATAGTTCTACCCATGATCAGTAAATCGACACTATCGCTTGATGACGACTGGCGGTCGAAACGTCGCTATCAATATTCTATGTGACAATCCTTAGACAAACGATTAACGAAACCCTTTATACACATTATCGACAATGAACAATTTCTTTCATGACAAAGTATTTGCCGTTTCAATTCCAAATGAATAAGAAAGAAAGAGAAATATACGAATTTGAGAAATCTTTTTGGCTGGCGTTCTAATCTAAGTAATGATGACATAATTTTCCGAGGCCAGGTCTGAAAACAGGTATGATAAATGACATTTTTTGGTCTGAAAGAGGGTCAGGATTTGGAGAACCAGGCGGCCAACCCCACCAAGAATTCTCAGAATTACCCCCTGGAAACATTCATTAACCTTTTGTATCCCAACCATAAACAAGTTGAACTAAATTACTCCATGAAAACGTAAAATGCATTCACGTATTCAACTTCACGATAAAGTTATTTCCTGTTTACTTTTCTTGAAGATTATCTCGTTTATTTCATAGATAATATGTTCTTTATATTCTTTTGTCTCGCTTTTTTCTGTTTGATTTTTATGGGCATTCACTGAACAGGTCGAATAAAATCCGAAATATTATAAATCAGTTAAAGCCACAAGTCGTCATAAAATCAGGAATAACCAAAATTATATGGTCGCAAACAGTACGCACGTAACCTGTCTTGGGAATCCAAGGAATTCACTCCATAACAACAAAGGAAGATGCAGCACAGTTAGGAAGACGATAACACGATGGGCAAAGTTTCATTGATGACCAGAAAGAAACTATTCCCATTTTGATTTCCTTTACAGCCCTCCTTGTCAAAACAATTATTGAATTCGGCTTTCGTAGGATATGAAGAATTCTGCAGATCTCGGAGGGTGTTATCCAGCGAGGCCGAAATCTGCGGAATTCTTCATATCCTACTAAGCGTCATTCAATAATTACTAAATATACATAAAAGAAAAGAAAAACAACATCCAAATATCAGTAAAGATTAATAGAGACTAATGAAATGTGAAGTTAACTCTTTTTTAAAGAGGTTGGAGGTTCACTTGAATCTTTCTACTTCAGAAGGTGTTTACTAGTCTCAATGGACATTACTTATTGGAAATGTGAGTAAAATTGATCTGACCCAGAACCTCACAGTCTCCGTTGTTCATGTATCATACACCTACTCGGATTATCCCATAAGACACATTTCAAACCAAAACGAGAAAGACTGCTCTGAACAAAACATCTTGATGTTTTTATTGAGATACACATGTAAAAACAAAATATCTGTACAATACTCTACACACCTTGCGTTTGTTAGCATTCAAGTCACATGTAGAAACAAAACCTGTGTTGCACAGTAATAAAAAAATACTTGGCGTCATAAATAGCTTTTTCCCACTGATCATAAAGGAATTTATTTCAAATTTTACATTCACACTTGATTATATTGAACGTGTTTTTTTATTTACAGTAGTAAAAGCTTCAAGAAAACGACAATGCAAATAAATAGGTGTGTCTATAATTCAATAAATAATACATTACTGTAAGGTTTCCCACCAATAGTTGGAGGCGACTGCGAGAACGATGTTAACAATGACAATGAGGATCATTTCATATTTATTGGCGCGCGGTGAAGTACCCATTACAAAACTCAACTCCTGACTAGAGTGAAATTTCCATTGAACTATAAAGACGGATAGCTTTAGTTGGAAAATTCTCTGTGTTAAACTTGGATCTACAGGTATATATCGGCCAGGACAACTAAAGGTAAACAAGCCTTTAAATAGGCAAAAGGAAAACGTAACATCTTCAGAGGTCAATACTGATAGAACTAATGAAAGATAACAAAGCAAATCCACGAATCCACCGAGACATAATCTACCATTAGAAACAGAAAGAAGGAGCAAAAGGCAAGTTCACTTGGAACAAATGCCTTGTAGGCAAGATACCAAGGCCCTTTTACACTTAACCAAATCTTAAAATCACGTTTTATGGAAAGCGGAAGTCCAGCTTATCAAGTCTTTTCCAGTATTTACTAGTAAGATCACTGGCAAACTCTTCGTGGGAGAGAGGTGTTTGACCAGTCAGTGAAAGGAAACCGCGGCCTTTAGACATTTGACCCTATAAAAAAAACCTTCAGGTGCCATTCTTTACAACCGATCGAGAAAGTGATAGTTCACAGGAAGTTAGTGGAAAGCTTAACTTGTTGGTATAGATTTCTGGAATTTTTTTAAGAAACTACATCGTCGTCATTCCCTTTTGATCTCCTTCTTTTCTTTTTACCCGACTTTTTCCTGTCCTTTTCTGGTGAGTCTTCAAACATTCCGTCCACCAATTCCACATCCTTTTCTCCACTCAGTCTCTGGTAAGACCCTTTTCGGTTAAAATTCGGTAGACCTCGCTGATCATTCTTTCTTCTTTGTTCACTTTCCTCCTCGTCCGTAAAGGAATGGTAACCGCGCAAAGATTCGCTGAGATTAAAGCCCTTTCTGCCTCCCTTGAAAGTTATAGGTGGAAGATCGTTAGCTTGTTCTTCCTCATTAAGAAGTACTAGCGCAATTAATAGCGCACTAAAAAACGCGGAAAGCATTACTGATTAGAAGTTAGTCCAAATTGAGAGTACGGTGCGAAATTTCTCTTATGCTCAAATTATCATGAAGCCAAAGCGCATTCAATTCAATTTCATTTGTTCACTGAAAAAAGCGCGCCAATGTGGCAAGTTTAGCAAGACCGTTTCCATTTTTGCCACGAAGTAGAATTAANTTTCTTCTTTGTTCACTTTCCTCCTCGTCCGTAAAGGAATGGTAACCGCGCAAAGATTCGCTGAGATTAAAGCCCTTTCTGCCTCCCTTGAAAGTTATAGGTGGAAGATCGTTAGCTTGTTCTTCCTCATTTTTCGTTGATTTTCTCTTTTTCTTACTTGGTTTTCTGAAAAAAAAAAAAACAAACAAACAAAAAAAGAAGGATTATGTATGAGAAAATTGTATTACAGTATTTGCTGCTGCACCATGTACGACCGCTGGCAACACCATTTTCAGCACTTTAACTTCAATAAATCGATAAGACCACAATAAAACCACCCCTCCTCTGTTAACAACACAATAAAAGTATCAAGAAATGTTTTCTTAATGGTGTACAAGGTACGGTTATTTGTGACATTTCAAGTTGCCATAGCAACAGCATAGCCTGTCTAAAACTCCGACAGTTTTAGCTTTAAAAGTGTATCAACCAAATACAAGTTCGGTGTCACTCTTTTGCCATTAGCATTTCATAAATTTTCAACCACACATTTTTCTTTAATTTCTTCACGAAAGTTGTACTTTAACAAAAAATGGGGCGGCTCGGGCAATAAAGGCTACCATCGCCGAATCTTGCCGCAGTTTCAGGAGGATGAAGCACCTGAACCACCTGGACGGGATGTTACTTCCTCGCAGGTTTACCCCCAGCTGCACACACTTGTTTAAAGAGGGACAAGCAAAGTTTCCCAGCTAAAGAAACAACACAATAGGAAGGTTGAATTCGGACCCTAAAACCCCATAGTCTGATATATTTACCACTAGACTACCACTGCTCCACACATAAACAACTGCCTCGCTTTCGTGTTACAAACTAATAAACTTAAAATTAAAGGTGTTTCAGATGTTGCTATGGTAACCTTTCTGGTCAAGGAAATAAAAACCTGTTAAGGAAGTTTTTGATCTATCAAAATAGCACTGAGAAGAACGAGAAGTACTAGCGCAATTAATAGCGCACTAAAAAACGCGGAAAGCATTACTGATTAGAAGTTAGTCCAAATTGAGAGTACGGTGCGAAATTTCTCTTATGCTCAAATTATCATGAAGCCAAAGCGCATTCAATTCAATTTCATTTGTTCACTGAAAAAAGCGCGCCAATGTGGCAAGTTTAGCAAGACCGTTTCCATTTTTGCCACGAAGTAGAATTAATAAACTGATAGTATTGATGAGCACCATTTACTCCTAGCTTTTACTTAGGCAACTTGAATGACCTGCCACATTATCAGGCGCTGTTATTCCTTGTTAAGTTAGTTCTGTTTGGACCAATTTAGACGTCGCAGATTTTGATTACCACAAAAGCTTCACCTCGTCACGGAGGACACCCTAACGAATACGATACATATACATGTAATAAATCGAACTTGTAATTATGTTAAAAGCAAAAGCAACAACTAAAAAGAGAGAAGTAGGATTAATTACGCACAATATGGACATTACGTTATTAAAATTCTGAATGATGTTATGGTTAGATGATTGATTGTTTTTATTCATTTATATAAAATGACTTGAGATTTTAATTGAACTAAATAAAGAAAAAACGATGATTGAATTAAATTTAAATCGGAGTGCGTTACAGTGCCACAATAGTGCGTAACACTAAGCAATAGGTCACGCTGTGCAAGTTCCATAGGTCACACGCAGACTGACCTGAAAACGTCACCTCCATGACCTAAGCTGTCTTCTCATTGGTTGTGATTCAAATCAGCACGACCCAGATCATTTGTAGAACTCTCACTGAAAACAAAGAGATCAGAAGATTTGTGCAAAGCAAAGTTCAACAATGAAGTTTATTGATACTAATTTAACTTCCTTGAATTATTTTTAGGTTTTTTAAAGTCGAATCAGGATTATACATATATCATATAAGTCTTTAAATAGCCTTCTTAAACAATGCCGCGCCCATGCTTAAATGAAACGCACGTCATCTTGCTTATTAACCGCAGGCTTGTTTAACCGTAGCTACAACTGTTATTATCAGTGCCAACCAGCTTTAAAATTTTGAACTAAGAAAAAAGAAAAACTTCGTTTTATGTTAACGATATTCTAATACAAGGTTCCCTCCAACTATCGAATGACACGAAAGATGGTTTGAAGCAAAACCTAAAGCGAAACACCAAATACGTTTCGACCACTGTGAACAACACGGTCTACATACGCCCCAGTCTTAAATTTTGACACTTTTCGACCAGACGACCTAGTCTTTGTGCGCGTAGCTTGTGGTTTAGTTAGCTGGGGACCGTGTCGAAGGAAACTCCATTCGCTGTGAAGCTTCAGGCTTGAGAAGGGCGAAATCTTCTCCTTTTCGTTGCCGTACTCCCAACTGAGAATTATTTTGAATGGATTATAAAAAAAATATATATTTGATTCGGCTTTCGTATGACCGGAAGAATTATGGGAAGACTGGACACGCGATGAAACTGAACTTCTTTGTTGTTTGTAAGCGCCAGGCGTACGCCCGCTTGGGGGACTGGAACAAGTCGAATGAAGAGTTTTGTGAGCTTACGGAAAAATGGCTGTAGTGTTTAGTTGCTTGAAGCGGGTTTCGAAAAGAACTTCTCGCGCCTGAGATTGAATACCCAGAGACCTCGTAGAGTGTTATCCAACGTCGAGGCCGATCGACTTCCATAATTCTTTAGATCATACTCACCCTCATCCAATAACTTCTAAATGTTTCCAAGTCATCTACACTTAGATGACTTGGAAAAACAGACCCAAAAAACGTTCATGACTTTAGAAAGCGTGATAGATGCACAGTAAGAAAGCACCTACAAAGCAAAGTCTGCCGTCTGCTCTTAAATCACTAGTTTTATCAAACTACAATATATAGTCGCTGCATGTTCGAATAACGCCTACTATTCTGATAAAGACTCCGCTTTTGAGAGAGTACTGTAAGGCGACTCGGAAGAAAGGGTCATAGGTTCAACTCCCCTTGGGAGTACTTGGATAGCCGCCTGTGTTACCTACTGAATAATCATCTTTCTCAGGTATTCATCAGGCTTAAAATCATATTTCTATCATTGCACAATCAACTTTTTAAGGGACTGATCTTGAGTTGACAAAAAAGCACTTTCACTCACCGTATTGGAGATGATGTAGTATGGATCGAACTTTGTCTTCGAATCCTAGCTTCTAATGTACTTGGTCTTCTGAAAAAAAAATTAACGTTGGCAACTATAAATCAAACGATCTCAAAACAACAAGAGGCACAAATGAGAACGAAATTTAAGGGTAATGTTATCTAACCTCGGGTCGATCAAGGCGTGTCCTCTGTTGTGGTTTGGCCCGTATATTTCAGACAAAAGTTCGTCAATTTCATTAGAAGACCTGCAAATATACAAGAAACAGGATATTCATTACTAAGAGAATAATTTACGCCATCAAGTGTGTTATTTAGTCTTAGAAAGTGCGCGTACGGTATTTTCGCGCAAATTGTTGAACTATAACTAGTGTTATTTCTGATACAAAAACGTAAATACCGTACATACTGCTACTACGTCTCTCTAAAAGTCGATGCGAAATGCTGATTGGGGAGATGACATTAGTAATGATGTCATTACCCTTGGCACGTGTTTTTCCATTCTTGTTTACATTCGCTCTTGTTTCCGCTTCGCGCTGATTGGCGAAAAACTGACAGCTCAGTCTACGGGGGCGCCCCGGAGAGCTTGCTTGCAGGCTAGCTTTTGGATAAATCTCATTTTCTGCAGATTTTTAAAAATGTAGAATTGATATCATAGCCGTGACATTTTGGGCGTAGGGCGAGCGACATATTTTGAGGCAGTGTTCTCCCAAATATGCCTAGCACGCATGTCAGAGTTCCACGTCTTATTTGGGAGCTTAATAAACGACGAAGACGACGACGGAGACGAAAAAGTCTCTTATTTAAAAAGTGAATCCACGCTGTTTCAATATTGATCGCTCCTATTCCATGTCGTTCAATGTAGGTGAATTTCTCTGTAGTGTTCACGTCGTGGTCGTGCAACAAATACAACAGCCAAGAAATGTACAAAAAAGTGTGATGCACGTGCAAAACTGTTGTTTTGCTAATCCAATCTCATTGCTTTTTGCCGTTCTCGTTGTCGTCGTCGTTGCTTAGTCTCCGTTGAACGGCCCTCTTCCCGTCTAAATAAAATGTCTCTCTCGGAAAGTTTGTCAAGTGTCGATTATGACGACTCTGAATGGAATTTCACTTTATTCCTGGGCTTATACCAAACATCAAGCAAAAATTACACGAAGAAGTCAAAAATTATGACCCAACTATGCGTGAGAGCGAAGAGGCTGATTATGAAGATGTTGTAATCCCTTACGCGGACGAGCCTTTGGCGAGTCAACAGTTTATCTAAGAGTACTATAGGAAGACACCGATGGAAAAGGAGTTAAGGCAGAAGCTACAACAAAGCTGGACGGAGCAAAGAACAAAGCCTAAAATTACGTCGTCGTTTCACTGACTTAGGGAACTATCTACACGGCCTTCTGACCAAAAGCTGCTTGAAATGGGCAAATTTCGTGCTCTTTAACCGAACGTGGAGGCCGTTAGATTTATCCGATTCACGCAAATTGTACCTCCTTTGAAAGATGTAAACGCGTAGAATGTATCACATTTTTTTTTTCAAATCTTGGGTGATATGCACTTTAAGCTAAATAACACCAAGAATCAGTGAACGGGAACCAGGACAATAACTTTTCTGCAATGGACAATGAGACAGCGGCAACATGTGGGCATTTTGCATCCGCTGAACGGCAATAGCGTGGGCGCCTTAAATCTGATGGCGGGAAATCGAAATCTTGCGTAAAGTTAGATACAGTCCTTTTAAAAACCATTCCGTTGGTGTTTTGAATACCGTACTTTTCTGAAAAATGTTCTCCATGACAAAAATCGGACGTTTTCTAGGCGGTTTTTCAGTTGTAGATTTTTCAGCAGTACGTTTTCTTGACTTTAAAGACTCAACGACAAAAATCACTGTTCCTGTATAAGTCGGATTTTCACAGGCAAAACAATGCATTTCGATGGTTTGATCTCCCAACTCAAGGTTTTACTTGGGAAGAAATGCATCGTAGCAATGTTCAGCTGCTTTAAGAAAAGCGAAAAAAAAAGAGAATCCACCGCCTTTTATTCATGAGATAAAGAAAAAAGGCTATGTCGTCAACAGGAGAGCAAGCGCCTTTCTTTCCAAAAACACCAGGAGAAAACACGTTGCGATCTGTTGTGATGGCCGGATTTCGCACTATTCAATAACTTACTATTTTAAAATTGTCTTCAGAGAAAATTAAGCGTCAGATTGATGTGTTTGACCTGTTGATTAAGGTCAGGCTTTTCCCACTTAATGTACATAGGGTCCTTAAGCTAAACCTATCACCTTGTAGGGGCAGAGTCTAAGATCTTAAAGTAGTCTCAGTTACAGGAGGTACGACAAGACTCTGAAGTCTGTAAATGCTTATAAACGTGTCGTACCTCCTGTAACTTAGACTGCGAAAATCGCTCTGAAAGTCCTTCAAGTGTTTCCCGGAAAAATAATTGCGTGAAAAAGGAAATCAACCGTGGTAAATAATTTACGTGTAGCCGTAAGTCACCTTCGTAAATTTTACCCGAGTAAAATTTACCGCGGCAAAATTACCACGGGAAAGACCTTTTACCACGGTGTGTGTAACCGCACCTAATAATACCCCCCTAAATGAGATTCCTTCCCAAAAAAGGATGATTCGGAGCACCCAGGGCGTTAACTTACTTTGTGGGGAAAAGAAAGGTTAACACCCCCTGCAGTTCTTCTTCTTGAAGTTTGTCTTGCTGGATTAAAATCGAAATCAATTTCATGTTCTAAAGAAAAAAAAAGAGGGAAAATGTTATATTTTACTTTTTCTTCTACCGAGACAGGTAGAAGAGAAGAGGGGCGCTAGACTATTATTGACAAAATTCCAAACCAAGCCACACAAACGGCTTTGTCCACAGGTGTCCTTTTTAATATCTGTACACGTATACTAACTCATATGATTACCAACAAATACGCACCACAACAGTTCGTGTGAAGAGTAATGTCTAACAGCTAAAAAGGTGAAGGTAATTTTTAACTGAAGACAACTATTGAATTTTTTCTACAAAAGTGGACCAAACATTATTTTTCCGCTTTTTTTATATGCAACTAGTTTGAACGTCAAAAAGCGGTTTTGAAGCGTCAGTGTCATCTATTTTTTCTAGTTTCGAAAATCCAAAGGATTCTTCCTTATCAAGTGCAATAAAAAATAATGTTAACAGTTGCGAAATATCTAAGGAAGAAATGGATACTATTTAAATGTTCGAAAATTTGGATGGACTGCCTGCCTCGTTCCTCAGTTTATACCTATTGATATGGATATCCCGGACAGTGTAAAGCCCCCGGAAATATCTGAGCGGTGTGTGTGGAACACTTTAGTTGATGTAAAGAAAACGGCAACAGGACCAGATAACCTCCCGTACTGGATCTGGAAAGACTGTGCTGAGCTACTCACACCTGTCGTTACTCATGTTTGGAATTTGTCGCTTTCTACTCATACATGGCCGGACTCTTGGAAGAGGGCAAATGTTAATCCTCTCCCCAAAGTGGACATGCCTTTAGAGGACTCAGACTACCGTGGTATCAATGTTACTCCCGTTATTGCGCGGTTGTTTGAGAAGGT